TGCTTTACAGAGAATTTATGGACTGTTATAAAAAAAAAATCAAGAGACTTCCAGAGTGAATTTCAAATTTATTTTATAAGAATTATGAAAAAAAAATCTGTGAAAGGGAATTAATTTAAAGGAAATGCTTGATAACAATCAAATAAAAGTTGGAGGGTGGTTTACAAGACACGACCGCATTGTTGACGTAGGACTACGAAATTTTTGTTCGATTTTCTAGTTTGTTATTTCGGATATTGTTTTGGAATAAAGTGAATTTCATAGCACAGCTCTTTTGTAGAAAGTGTTTTCTTTGCTTTTTCCTATTCATTCACCTACATCAGCAAAATACATAAAAGGGAGGGGCATAGAATGCTTAGCTAAATGCTTAAGTAAGGGAATCGTAGAAAGTTTGACTGCCGAGTGATGAACAGAAGTGTTCGTTGCGTTGTACACTTAATACGAAACTAACTCAGTGATTAACTTTTACTCATTCGTATGGAAAATTTTCTTAAAGCGTAGGTTTTTCAGCGCATGAGTAGCTTACGCTTTTTAAAAATTTCTTCATGCGAATGAGTAAAAGTTACTCACTCTCTGAGTAAGATTTGTTTCCAGTGTACAACGCAACGAACACTCCTGTTTATCACTCGGCAGTCAAACGACGACTGCAGTAAAACTTTCTACGTTTCCCTTACTTAAGCATTTAGATTAGCATTCTATGCCCCTCCTTTTTTCTGTATTTTGCTGATGTAGGTGAAAAAAGCAGACAAAAGTAGAAGATCTCTGCCTAGGGGTACGAACGGAAGCTTGACGTGTTCCAGTAGTTGTGGTAGTTGCCACCTTGGGTCCTATAATAGTGGAATGCGTTGGTTTCTTATGGGTTCCACTATTATAGGAACACTACCGCAGCTATAGGTGCAAAAAACTGAAAATCTTAAGGAAAATTAATTATTTTCAGTCACTTTTGGGCAAAAATATTAAGATTGAAATATGCAAATATGCTTTATTTTAGGAGAGCTACCGATGAAAAATAATCATATCCGGGTCCTTCTCACTATTCCGGCACAAACCTCATACCGCAATTTTAAGTAAACCACAAATACTGGAACACCTACCCCACCAAATTTGTAGTATATTTTTTCAAAGAGAAAGTTGATGAAGAGAATTGATCAAAATAACGTGCACCCCTGCTTCCAAGTTTGGTTATAAGATTACAACTCTCGAGAGCATTTTTGGTGGTCGTTGGGGGCGTGTGGTTCTGAATATGGACAAACAGACACAGATAAATTATACTCCAACTCTTTACTGTAATAAGCTTGTTGGCCCTGAAAAGGGCCGTTTTGTTGCCAAAGTTGGTGATGATTTAACCTCCGAAACCGTACAAAGCGTAGACGACATCCATGACCGCTTACGCTTGGCGTGTTCAGAGTAGGTGACAGCATCACGGATCACATTTTTCAGGAACACCTTCAGCACACCTCGTAGATCAGACCTGAGATACGTTTGACACCGCCACGGCGAACCACAAAAAACTTTGCGATGACGCTTGGCGCCTTCTTTACAAAGACCTTTTCCTTCTTTGCCACGACCAGTCATTGTTGCTTGTTAGGTAGAAGAGTGGACTACCTAACCTGCCATCAGCTTCCTACTACTGCTATTGCTGCTTCTGCTGCCTGATCCGAAGCTAAAATGAGTTGAGAACAGCAGCGCTCTTTTACATCTTTTCAGGTTAAAGCAGAATGATGTGCAACCAAGTGGTACTCGATTATGACGACTAATTTATGAAAACAGTAATGAAATTATCACTTTTTATTTGTGCATTGGACAATTCTTGACATTACCACCTTTTCAATAGTTTCTTGTTGAAAATCATCAGTCGGAAACATTGCTATTGATGCGTAGAAATATTTCTGATCGATTGGTGATAAAATGATTGAAATTGGTTCAGGGGCAGCTGAGTTATTAATGTTCAAAGTCTTTCATAATTTTGTTACATGTTCCATTTTCGGTTATCACAAAGTGTACCCCAATATCGAAGTCACAGACGTACACACTTAGATTTTTTTCGCCGAGATTGGTACCACTGCACCACATCACTTTACTGAGATCTCAGCAAAATTTATGTTTGTTAGCCGAGATCTCGACAAAATTCCCGTTTGTTAACTGAATCTCGGCATATTTTTCACTGAGATCCAATCTAAGTGTGTAGTCCTACGTCAAATGTTCCTGGAGAAAACGGGAAAATCGAGATTTGCTGGTCACCATGAAGATGGAGGAGATCTGTATGCCCTGGAAGGGTAGAGTTCGGAAGCAGTCAGAAAAAAAGAAAAGACATCTTCCTGTATCATGGAGTAAATCGAGATAAGAAACGAATCATGAACTTACTGAAAACTTTAAGCGATGAAGCAAACCGTTTTTGTAAATTTATATCGAGATGGTTGCAGTTTCCTTCACACAGCGATGTCAATCATAGTAACATCCCAGTTACTGCTTGAACTGCATTCCTGGCAGAAGGGGGCGACACATCTAAATCTCAAGTTTAGATGCTCAACAAATCTCACATTAGCGAATCAATCTTCGAAAAATCTTCTTTCATTTGTCGCATTTACTTGCATCGTGCATAATCTTTTTGCAGGAAATCTTCAGAATCGTCATCAATCTTCTTTCTATCTACTCAGCGTGCGTGCAGCTAGCCACAGCAAAACACAATCTTTTTTGCATCGTAGATAGAGTCGTCCCCCTCGTTCCTGGCGTTCAGCACGTTTTAAAATGTGTGTATTTATAAAAAAAAATACGGTTCTTTCCTTCGGTTTTTGCATTCTATAAAATATATCGAACGCTTTATTCAATATTATACTGGGGCACTATTCGTGGATTAGAGGTTCGTGTGGTATTTCATGAAAAAATGTCCAGAAAGCACTAATATATTTCTGAAGAAAGTAATAGCTGATGGGGTTGTGTTGCCGGGTAGGAACTGCAACTGGATTTTATTTTAATTGCCGGCAAATCAGGGAATATCAGGGAATTTTGTTTTCTTCATTGAGTCGACACCCTGTATGATGGAGCACCTTGTTTTTCTGTAATACAGTTCCTTCCCGTTTTTGGCAACACATAATGTTTGTCTTCTTCACTTTCTACAAAATCCATCCAACGCTTAATTCCATTTCTAATATCACTAGGATCTTATCTACTTGAAATCAGGCTTGCAATTGCTCATTACAGTCAAATATATTATATTAACAATATGATCCACTCTTTCGCTTAGCTGGCGAACCGAATTTTTAGCGATGAGAGCACCTCTGTGGCTAAAAAGGCTACCAATGTATTTGTTTATCGTCACGAGGGGTAAACCAAATGAAAATTTGTTTAATATTTCAAATGAATGTATTTCAGCATTTTATTTTATTTGATGACAACAGTGACATGTTAGACAAATTTTAAAGTAATATACACAATGTAATTAATGAAAATAGTTTGACTCTTACTTTTGTAATAAGTGCTATATTCGCACCCCTCGATTGTAATTGAATGATTGTTGCTGACCTGAATTTTTCACAGATATCTGTAAATAATTACAGGAAAACTGTAAAATTGTTTACCGAACGTTCAGCTGTTGAGATTTCGGTAAAATTTTACAGAAATCTGTAAAATAATCTTAGTGTGTTGCGGTGTGTTGCTTATAGAATAGTTTAAATATGCATTAAGCTTTAAATTTCTAGCCATAGAATTGACTGTTTTGAATAATATACAGGAAATCTTTCATTTAAATTAAATTATTTTGCTTATTCACACAAATCCCACACACATTGACAGTTCGCATTTTGCTGAACGACCAGCAAGAAGTGCTAAAACCACAGACACACAGACGCAACACTTTAAATATATTTTTCTTGAAAACAATGTACTTTAAAAAATCGGTCCTCAGTAACGACATCTCTCGAGTTTCTCGCGAAAAATAAGCTAGCTCGCTAAGTCGCTAACAATGTTGCATGTAAGATAAACAGAATATATCAAGAGCAAATTTTCATTACGTCGAATGTAACAAAGGTAAACAAAGTCGAGCTATCAGTGTCAATCGATTCTCCTGCTATTACACTATATACTGTCCGAATATAGGATCAAATCCCATTTTTAAATTTATTTACCAGTCAAATTACTTTTTGACGTAATCACCTTCCGATCAAAATAGTTATCAATGTTACTTAAGTCACCCAATTTCTATGGAGATGCCGTTTGACTTAAGTAACAGCGCTGAGAAACCCGTGAAAAGTGTACGTTCGTCGTTTCGCTTTCTCATTATTAAAGTGAATAAATCGAACTGCTGGTTGCTAAGATGATTTCGGTAGTCCTAAAATGATGAATGGGCTGCACGTAAGGAGACGTAATTGATAATTCTCCCGAATATCCTGGTAAATACACTTTGACTTAAGTAACAATAGGGGCCACCAAACGACGTATAATAACTTTTGACTCAAAAACCAGTATTTTTTAGCATGAAAGCTAGCGATTTGCATTTGTATGATTAAAACCCTGCTAAATATGTTAAACATTGCTATCACTATGAGATTATATGTGTTTACTTGAAAATAGGAATAACTTTTCGGTCATCAAAACAAAACTTTATTTTTCTCGGATTTGTGCGGATGTTACTTACGACATAATGAAAATTTGCTCTTGATATAGAAACGTCAAAGTGATCTGATGCCAGCGCTGCGGTGAATAGTTCGCGGAAATTATAATATTCAAATCAGTCGTTATATGCGTGAACCGATGATCCAGAATGAAGAGGTACGTCTGTTTGTCGGTGCTACAACAGTGATCATTTTTCAGAATAGTTTCAGTGAAATTAGAAAGGCATTAATTGATTCAATGGTAAATTGATTTATCTTTTATTTAAGCGCTTGATAATAGGTGTATGTTTTCAGCTCTTATTTTTACTAATCGATAACAGCTGAAACAAGCATTTTCTTTTATACTGATTGAGTTAGAAAGCGAATTTAGTTAGAATCTTTATTTGCCCTATTTTAGGCAAGTCAACGAATTACCTTTCCCCGCATAAACCGTTCAACTATATATCAAGTTGCGCATTGTTTTCAGCGTGCTCAGTTTTTCAATCACCTCGGCTTTCTCCATTGTTATCCCCGGGCAGTAGGAGAATGTTAATTCCTGATATTTGAAAAAATGTGCTTAGATTTCCATACAACTTTCAACCGGCAACATACTCACCCTCAATCTCTGACAGTTGGTAAGAATCAGCTCAATACTCTCATTAGTCAGTCCCTTCAAATTCACCAAGTATAAACGCCGCAGTCGCGTCAATTTCCTCGTTATAATGTCCATGCAGTCGTCGTTGAAACCGGCCTTATTGTACTCAATGTGCAGAGTGTCTATCAGCGGACAGCTTCGCACCAGAAACGAGATCCCCTTGAAGGACACCCCCGGACAGTGGGTGAGGTGAAGTTCCCTCAGCTCCGGCAGAGCCATCGTCATCAATGAAGCGTCCGACATGTCTCGACAGCAGAACTTAAGTAGTCGTAGGCCTTCAAAGGAGTCGAAGCGTTTTACTTTTTCGTTCAAAATTTCACGTTCCTTGAGCTGAAAAAATCAGAACGATAAATCTTCAGTACGTGCTTGCAACAAAAACCTGCATATACTCACAACATAGTTCTCCAAATCCAAGCTCTCCACGCGCTGAACTCGCTCCATCAACGTCTGCACTACGATAATATCCCGCATTAGCGAATCGTCATCGACGTCTTCCAGGTAGAAACGCCTGGCATTTGGAAAGGAGCAGAAAATCGCTGGAGAGATCAGCGGAAACGTTACGGACAGCGCGAAGTCAATTACACTCTCGATCGAGGCCGACTCGTCCCAGGCCCGGACGTCGTACAGCGACATGGTCAGCTTGCGAAGGTTTCTCAACTCGGCGAAAGCCTTGCAATCGTGGATGCTTTCGGCGATTAGCTCCAGCTCCTCCAACTCCAAAAGCATCTTGGGAATCTGGGAAACTGCGCGAAGGGACAACTCGGAACCGATTCGGAGAACGCGGAGTTGAGGCTGTTGATCGAACAGCTGGATGAGAGTATCGGTGTAGTCGTCTTCATTGCCGCCGCTCTTGATGTTGAGTTTGCGCAGTTTCAGGTCCGATAAAGAGTTCAGGTACTGCAGAGTGGGTTTCATTTCTTCCACCTTGACCGTGACCTCGCGGAGCGTGGATGAGTGTTGCTGGAGTATGGGTTTGAGGTGGCGAAGTTCTACCTCGAAACGTTCTAAGGAGAGGACTGTGAGGGGAGCTGAGCATAGAAGGGAAGCATTGAGCAGGATGAAATAGTTGGGCAGGTAGAGTTTGAGAGATTTGAGGTTCTTGAAGGTCGAAAGGTACAGTTCAGGATTCTTTGGCTTGGGACCGTAGAGTTCATCCGATTCAGTCGTCAAGCAAAGTTCCTCTAGAGTGTGGAGATAGGGAAATGTTTTCAGAATCGATTCAGACAACTGTACAACTTGCAGATGAAGAGACTTCAAATTTGTGCCACATTGCTTGAAAAAATCGATAAACTCTGGATCTTCAGTCAATTCTTCATTGGGTATGGTGATTTTGTAATGGGATTTGGGGAAGGGATTCATCACTTGGGAAGATAGAAGGGAAGGCATCTCAATCAGTTGATGAGTAACCGGATGCACTGGTTTGAGGTGAATCGTCACATATTTCGGAATTATGACCGTGAGTATGATGTCCTTCCAGGCGTGACAAACTAAGGCTGCGTTTTCCAAATCCTCCACCGGCAGATAATGGAAGATCTGCTCCAGTAGCTAGAAAGCGACAAATAAGGCTTCTTCAGAGGCGAACTAATGCAACGATCTGTGAGCGTAATTACCTCGTTTGGAAGATTTTCAATCTCCATGCTTACACGTGGGTGGTCTGTCGAACGGCCAGTGAAATTCGCAAAATTTTACTAATATTTGATCAATAATCGAGGAACGGGTTAAAAATAGCGAGCATGTGTAAAGTTGCATTTTTCTTAGCATAGAGAGATGGAAGCTTGCATTCAACAGGTGTCTGACCGTCTGCCAGTTTTGAAATACAGCAAGCTTTCGGTTTTCGTGCCGAAAGTGTGTTGGGAAAAATTCAAATGTTGTCCACACGAACGGTGAGACTGACTCAAAATTGAATTTGAGGCAAAATCGAGACACATTTCACTCAGTCTACGAATATACTCAAAGACTGAATAAATTGTGCCTCGATTTTCCTCATATTCGAGCCGATTTTTCGGGTAAAGCTCGAAAATTCAACTCACTTAGTAAACGAATCCACTGTTTCCTAAATTGAACCGAATTCGATTCAATTTTGAGTTAGTCTCAGCGAGAGTGCATCACAGTTGCTAGACGATAACAAACGTTTCGTAACGAGGGGCGCGACCATTGCAACTTTTTGAGTTTCAGTTTAGCTTCTGAATAAAATTTAAAAATCATCTACGACCAAAAATTCGGCATTCCATGTTTCTGGGCATGCGTAGTTGATATGGAACAAGCAAAACACAGTATTCATGCTACATAGTCTTTAATAAATGAATTAAAATGCTTCAGCATATTGGCCTTGCGTTCTATATGGTAATAAACACTAGTCAAAATGAAGCTCAGGAACTAAATCCGATGGGATGTCGCCGAAATCCAGTGACATTGATTCCTCGGCAAGCTGCCCAATGAAGCTGCTGCAGGTCGTTTCCTCCTGTTTTGGCACTTCGACGAGTTCCTTCTGGTGAACCGTACGCACATGGGTAACAAATCGAGCTCTAACTTTGAACACCCGCCCGCAATCGCTACAGTCGAATGCTCCTGACTTGTTGTGGACCTGCTTCCAGTGAGTGTTCAGAACGCCTTGAGTGGAAAAGCATTTATCACATTCAACGCATTTGAAGTCCTTCTCCTTGCGATGGGAAAGCAGATGTGTCTTTAGAGTGCTTTTCTGCGTGAAACGACGGTCACATTCGTTGCAGATAAATGGTTTTTCCTTGAGATGACTGTTTTGGTGGTTCCGTAGGTTAGATTGGGTAGCATAGGTTCGAGGGCAGACATCACACTTGTACGGTCGATCTGCTGTGTGAGTCGAAAGGATGTGGGTCTTCAGCGTTTGCGACTGGGCAAATCGTTTTCCGCATTGATCACACGAGTACGGTCGTTGATTGTTATGCGTTCGGGAATGTACATGCAAATTGCTTATGTTGGTGAACGCTTTCAGGCATACCTGTTGGAGTTCAGTAAAATAGCTTGAATTAAACTCATCGCATTGGTAGTCTAGATCAACATACCTGACAAACATAAGGCTTCTCATTGTTGTGGACCCTTTCGTGCAGTTTCTTCGAGGTAAGCTGATTGAAACTCTTATCGCAGTAACTACAGTTGTACGGTTTTTCCAAGGTGTGCGTCCTTAGGTGTACCCTATAGTTTCCAGAGCTCGTATACTCCGCTCCACAAACCTGAAATTACATCCAAATGTTGACGCTGTTCACCGCATCATCAACGATTCGCCTTACCTTACAAACAAACGGCTTAATATTCGAGTGCAAACGTTTATGCGTATTTAAGCTTGATGCTTGGGTGAAACTTTTGAAGCAAATGTCACATGCAAACGGTTTCTCCCCCGTATGGGTACGCATGTGAACCTTCAAGTAGATCTGTTTCGTGAATGTCTTCTCGCACACTTCACAAACGTGCTGCGTTGGACCCGCCTCTTTACTCCTTTTTTTCGTAGTTTTCTCCACCAATACATCGGATGCTTCCTGCTTGACCGGCATGACTTCGTTCGCTTCAATGGCCGTATCAAGCTGCTCGGGTACATCCGCTTCATCGTGTTCCACGGACGAACGCAGTGATTCAATTTCGTCAACTTTTGGCAAATCTTGCTCAAATCCAGCCAAACTGCCCTGCGTAACTGAAGAACTGCTACTGCTACTACTTGAACTGTAGCTATAACTGCTTCCATCGGAGTCATCGCTACAGCAATCGCTGCTATCACTGCTATCATCTTCACCGTCCTCATCTGCATCCTCCTCGTCATCGTCGTCATCATCTTCCACATCGCTGATGATCTCTACGGAGCTCTCATCGTCCGAACTACTTCGGCCGTCCTTCCCGGCAGTCCGGTATACAGCTGCTGCCCCAGTAATATTCAGTTGAAAACTATTCGCAGTTACCATCGACGTTTCTGTCGACGAATCCTCTTCCCTTAGCAGTGCAGCCGTCGCCAGCGACATTTGGGGCTGTTCCTGCAGCTGCCTCTGCACCACCTCGTTCATCATCGAACCGGATATGACAAGCTGCGTGGAGGAAGTCACCGTCGTCGTTGTGATGGGGAAAATTTGATTCTGCGAAATCGGGAATCCACCGTTCGCCTTCCGTTTCCGCTTCATAACCTTGTTGTATTTGGTGATGCATTTTTGGCAGATCGGTTCCACCCGACCGTTGATCGGGACGATTTTGAGCTTAAATACGGCTTCCAGCAGCCAGACGTTGGACTCATCGCATTCGATGTAGTCCATGCTCTTGTGCAGCAGCTGGCATAGCTTGCAGAAGTGAACCATCTTATCAGTCTATAGCTGTTCACTTATTTGTAGATTTAGTTAAATTCATTTTTATTTTGGTAAAGTTAACTTGTACTTGGTAATACTGTATTACATCGTATGGTATAGTATGTGTATGGATTGTTTACTTAGGCAATAAAATCTGACTAAAGATTGGTTTTCACGGCACGGTTCTATCATCGTTCACTAAAATTACACTATTTGACTAGTAGTGGTTTGATTAAGGATGAAGTTGAGCGTATTTAATTAATTTTACATTGATAATTTTACATTTTTCGTCTGAAGAAAATCTGAAAGGATGCCGAATAGGTATGTAAACACGACGCTCTCGGCTGTCAAAATTTATAATGTGCTATGAGGGTGGGCGTAAATTTGTCTTTACTGAATGATATCCAAAAAGGGCTCAATTGGACTGTTATGTTCTAATTGGAATTTAGTTCACCTATATATATGCTGATATGAAGGCCGAATTCCTATTGGTCAAAACGGATTGAACCGGACTGCCCAACCAATCACGGTTTTTACCTAAGAGAAGAGGTGACAATACGGGGGCGAAAATGAACCACTTTTCTGTCAAACGTGAACCAGCTCCTGATTGGCCGATTTCATGTGCGTAAGATAGAGATAGAGCTAGATAAAGATAGGGATAGAGATAGAAATAAAAGAGGAAGAAGCCAATTGACGAGTGCACGGATGGATTTGAGTTCACTCACTCGACAAAAAGTGACACAACAGCGGGGCCCTGTTTACTAAAAATGAACACATATGTGTTCATTTTTAGTAAACAGAGCCCCGCTGTTGTGTCACTTTTTGTCGAGTGAGTGAACTCAAATCCATCCGTGTACTCGTCAATTGTCACCTCTTCCTCAAAGGTTTTTACCAATAAGAATTCTATTAGACCCAAGGCGCCTGGAGTTATACCTATGTTACCTCTATGGTTATACTAATTGGAATAATCTTCATTAGCTCTTAAATGGAGGCGAACCAGCCCAAGGCTGAAAGCCTCATTAATAAAGTTAAATAATAATAATAATTAGCTCTTAATCTTCTTCTTGATAATTTTTTTTTGCGATGGGCAACGCCTCTGCATATATCCTTTTCTTGGTAGTAGTATTAATAGAAAATTAGTATAATTATGTCACGCTAATCGAGCAAACAATTACCCCCCCCCCCTATCGTGACGTTTTCCTATACCTAATGCATTGCTTGTCACAAAATCTTAGACCCCCCCCTTAGAGCGTGACATAATATATGCATCAACCCTAAGTGAAAATAAGCACACAATTACTTGAAGAATTTCACTACCATCAGCAGCTGATAATAATCCGGTTGTTAGATACTTTTTTTTTTTTTTTTTTCTTTATTAAAGAGACCTTCAGCCTTGGGCTGGTTCGTCTCTGGGAATCCCCTATTTGAGGGGGGTGGGAATTCCAGAGGGAAATTACCCTAACAACATAGTTTGGATCCCAGAGGGGATTTCCGAAAAAGGGCGTGGGGCCCCGGAAACAGAGTTTTTAGCTACGGAGTTTTTAATTTGGTGGCCCTGGAAGGGAACCTCCGAGGGTGGGGTCCCTTAGTTGCTTAGTGGCTGTCTTAATTCTGTTATTTTGTTGGAGAATTCCGTTTTCGTTGCGTTGGTCTGTATAGTTGCTGATGTGGGTGGTTGATTGTGAGATTCTGGTTCCGAGTGTGATCTGGTATGGTGGTGATGATGATGATGGTGAGTTAGGTGATCAGATTAGATCGAACAGCTCAGCTTCCCGCAGGAAAGCTAAAAGGGCTGTAATTCTGGTAGAATCGTTACCAAGGGCATCGCTGATGCTTCCCGGGATGTCGTAGCGGGTTCTTGGTGCTTCGTATTTCGGACAGTGGCAGATAATGTGATCCACCGTTTGAGGAATTCGGCATAGATCACAGATCCTATGGAAAGGTCCGTCTCCCTTGTAGTTGTGGGAGATGTTTGTATGATGTGTTCGAAGTCGGGATACTATGACCTGCTCTCGATGTATCGGTGGGTCCACCCACCTGGAGATGTCTCTTTTAATTTTTCTGATGGCAGGGGTTTCACTGGCGGCCCAATCGCGAGCCCAACCTTCGTTGGTGATTTTTGATACCCATTTTTTGAGGTCCGGACCGGGTACAATTCGCGTGTACTTGGCCATACGACGACCTGAGTTGGCTAGTTGGTCCGCTTTTACGTTACCATGAACCCCGCAGTGTCCAGGTATCCACACAAAGACTGTGTTGTTTGGCGCGTGTTCCTGTATAGCCTGGATCCAAGGGTGTTTGCTCGTATCGGATTCCAGTGCGGCTACCATACTAGCGGAGTCGGTGAAGATGGCTATTGGTCGGTCGTCGGGAGTGGTGGCTGCAATGAAGGCGGCAATGGCTTCCGCAGAGAAAATGGAGCACTGATCCGGGAGTCTATGGCATTCCGCGAGGTGTGGACCGAAAATCCCGATTCCTACCTTTCCCTGGGCTACCGAGCCATCCGAGTACCGAATGGTGTATCCTCCGTATTTCCGGTTCTGGAGTTCGAGTACCGCTTGTGCCACCACTGAAGGATTGGCACCAGCTCTGAATTGGTGTTTGATTGTGTGGTTGTTAGATACAATCACAATAAAGAAAAACAATCTAAAAAATGCAGTTACATTATTCTTTTAACAGTCCGAGAACAATTCCAAGGAAACAGAATTTCGGATGGTAAAAACAATGAAAATGATCCCAGGAGAACCGAATAACTTTTGAGGGGGGTAACCATCTCTGATGATCAAAACATCTCACAATAGCGAATCAATCTTCAAAAAATCTTCTTTCATTTCTCGCATCTTCTTGCATCCTCGTTTGCATCACGTATGTTTGTTTTTTTGCAGGAAATCCTAAGAATGGTTATCAATATTCTTTCTATCTACTCAGCGTGCAAGCCACAACAAAACACAATCTTTTCTACATCGTAGATAGATTCGTCCCCCTCGGAATTTGTTAAAGGATATCTGACTAGTAATTTAAGAAAATCTCAGGTAACATTCTTAGATAATTCTGCAAAGTAGTAAATCAGTAAAACAGCAAAAAAGGTTATCTTCCATTTAATTCCATTTAATTTTGGTATCCATGACAGATACGTATTTCGACTACAATGTGCAGTCTTCATCAGTGTCATTCCCACTGAAGACTGCACATTGTAGTCGAAATACGTATCTGTCATGGATACCAAAATTAAGTGGAATTAAATGGAAGATAACCTTTTTTGCTGTTTTATTTAGCATTCCACTAACAACCCAATTTCATTACTTCATTAGTAAATCAGTATTTTGAGAGGAATTTAAAGAGTGACAAAAACATATAATTTCTGAGGAAAATTATCATACATTTCTGAGATCATGGCCATGCACTCATGTCTGAGGAGAATTTTAGAGGAATTTGTAACAATAATTTTTTATTCAATAATTGTTTTAGAAAGTTTTGAAGAATGCTCAGAAATTCAAAACATCTTAAGGGAGTGTTGCAAGAGTTTGACAAGATAATTTTTATCTTGTCATCCCATGAGAATTTTATAAAGAATTTAATTGGGTGCTTTAGGGGTATTGAGGTTATTTGCATATTCGTAATCTGCATTAAAAATGGAATCGAAATCCAAAATTTAATTAATTTTGGTGCAATGGAACTATTTTAAATTAGTGTGATCACATTAGAAATAAAAACACCGTTTTAGCGTTTTAGCGCTCCTCGATGAGAGTTTGTATGGGAGAGAGCTGTCGACTAATAGATTTAGTGTCAAACATTAAACATTTAATCTTTATTTAAAAATCCAGATTAATGCCTATGGGATCGATAAAAATATTGAAATTTCTGTAGGTAGGCTCATCCAAACTGAGACCAAATAGAAATAAAATTAAATTGTGAGCCTTGTGGTCGTGCGGTTAGCGGCGTCACCCGTCGTTCAGGCGTATTGTGAGTGCCACAAAGTGAGGGTTTGATTCCCGCTTCAGCCGGTGGAACTTTTCGCAATCCGAAAATTTCCCTACTGGTCTACTGTGGGTGTTGAGTGTTGTCCGTTGTCTAGTGTTAAATATTCAGTTTGTATAACCTCTGGTTGAAAACGGTGTCAATTGTCTTAAAATAAAATGAAGTAAACACAAAAGTACACAAAAAATAACTACTGTGTTTACCTGACTTATAACGAATATACGTTACATACGAGTACCCCGAATACACAACGTATGACTCGTATAATTTTGCATAGCATTTGCAATGTAAAATTAGATGAGTTGTATTCGGGATACTATATCAAGACAAACAATTGAAATGGCCTCAACTCCATTTTGTAAACAAAACTTGAAAGGCCATTTTCTCGCGAACTGAAACCTATACATTTGCACACACAATCGGGTAGAGAAGAATTTCCCCTACTTGTTCATTCTGTTGGTTTCCATTGGCGGACTTCGGTTCGCGAGAAAATGGCCTGACAAGGTTTGTTTACAAAATGGAGTTGAGGCCTTTTCAATTGTTGGTCCTGATATACTATATTCACGGCGAATGAGAACGACCCAAATTTGAGTTTAGTTCACTCATAATCGCCAAAAGTGCAGGAACGCAGCGATTAGAGTCGGTGTATAATGAGTCGCGCCAAGAGAAAAACAGTTGAACTCGCATCACGGTTTTCGAAAAATTCCCTTTCTTTTCACTTGGCAACAGAGGACTTCTGCATCAACTTCAAATGACTTCTAGCGAGGAAAAAAAGTAACGGCTGTAGTAAATCATTAAATTAGTGATTTTATCAATTTATCTTAACGAAAAATAGTAGAAAATTCTCACTACTGACCATTACAAAACGTATCGCATAACAAATGTAATGCTCACTGCGTGTTTATGATCATTTTTTGTTCGATTATATTTTATATTTAATTGCAATACCTTTCGTGGACCTTTCATAGCATCGTAATGCTTGTTTACTTTGCACGATAGGTAGCCGGTTTGACAGTTCAATAGGTAGACTTGGCTTCACTCTTGGCGTGACTCATTATACACCGACTCTAGCAGCGATGAGTTAAATTTGTCTCATGGTTTCCTGTGGAAAACCTAAAAAATCTGCCGGAAAATGAGGAAATTGACGAAAATTTTATTCAGTCTCGATAGTACCAATAGACTGAGTGAATCCAATCTTTACTTTTTTCAAATTCGGGATTTTTTCCTTGGAAAACCCTGGGAAAACCGAGGGGGGCGACAAATCTAAATCTCAAGCTTAGATGCTCAACAAATCTCACACTAGCGAATCAATCTTCGAAAAATCTTCTTTCATTTGTCGTATCTACTTGCATCGCGCATCACCTTTTTGCAGGAAATCTTCAGAATCGTCATCAATCTTCTTTCTATCTACTCAGCGTGCGCGCAGCTAGCCACAGCAAAACACAACCTTTTTTGCATCGTAGATAGAGTCGTCCCCTTCGGGGAAAACATGAGGCAAATTTACTCATCGCTGAGTTCCTGCACTTTTGGCGATTATGAGTGAACTAAACTCAAATTTGGGTCGTTCTCATTCGCTGTGCAGTAGAATGGTTTGTATGATACCCAGAACACGTCGTTAAGCAAATTAACCATACAATTTTTATTAGGGTAGAGATAGAGATAGAAATAAAAGAGGAAGAAGCCAATTGTCACCTCTTCCTCTTAGGACAGCACAGGGATTTTCGAACATACAGAATAACTTTCGAAATGTCACTTTTAACCACGAGTTAAATTTAACTCGGCAAATGGTTCACAGCCTTAATAACACATCAACACACCCCCCGCTGCAAGCCTTTTCCGTCATCATTAGAAATAATCAGGACGATGATAATGATGATGATGCACAACATCGGATGCGATGTCTTCTGCGTTTGTTTATCAATCGAGGGGAGTGTCCGAGAAAAGCGTCGCAAAGTTGTCAAATAATCAGTATAAGAAAGAAAGTATCGTTCCGTCGATTATTAATTTTCCTGAAGGCGCTGTGGCCTGCTTGTGGTGCATTTCCGATCGACGAACATGCCGTGTGTCGTACCGACTTGTGGAACCTCCGAGGGTAGCTTCATGCTGTTCCCACGGCACGAATCCCTTTCCGAGCGTTGGTTTGAAGCGATCCAGGTTGGATGTGGCATTCTGATGGAGCTAGCTGAAGGACGTGATCTGAGCCAAACGGAAATTTGCGTGGCGCACTTTAGTGTGGATGGAAAAGCGGACGACGCCGACGGCGAAGGTGAGAATCGGTATCAGGAACCGAGGCTATTCATCAATGGGTATGTGTGCACTATTGTAATAGGATTGCAAGGTGCTAATTGTTACGTTTCAGCAATGGTGACCCAGTGGAAATAGACAGTTGTCGACTGTGCTTGCAGTTCTATCCGACTTATTGTATGGCCGCTACGGAAGGACACCTTGGAGGTAATGATATCAAATCCGTCGTCGACGAGGCGTTAAGTATAGGTTTCAGAGAGAACGATTTCCTTAAACTGATCTGCATTGAATGCCTTGCTCGGCTGGAACTGTTGAATTCGATACAGAAAGATTTTGCTCAAGCGGAAGTCGAATTTCAGGAGCTGCTCAAAACCGCGAACGACAGTGCGAATGATGTCCATAGCATGGTAAAGCTGACACATCCCTCAGTGGACACATTCATAGAAGAAGAGCATGCAGAATCGTCTTCAGATCCGGACTATGATATCATTGAGGAATGGACACCACCAAAAACTTCTTCTGTTTTTAGTAAACAAAAAAAGAGAACCAATCGCTTGACGAAACTAATTCCAAGGACCAGCGTAAAACCGAAACTAGCAACAACTTTGAATGCAATCGTCGGCAGAAAATGCTACATCTGTTCAACGGTTCTGGAAGACGCCAACGAACTATCTTTACATCTAACCGAGAATCACGCGAATAAAACGGACTACCATTGCGGTGAATGTTCGCTCGATTTCCCCTTCCTGGCAGCCTACAATAGGCACCTATCCCGTCACGAGCAATCCGAGCGACCGCATAAATGTAGCTTCTGTGCCCTGCGGTTCAAATCGATTATTCAGATGAAGGCCCACGAAAATAAACTACACGGTATGGACCATGAGGTGAAACCCCATTCAGAAAAGTCGAAGTCTATTATGTGTGAAACTTGTGGCAAAACATTCATGTACAAAAGCAAACTTAATGCCCACGTTCGCGTGGCTCATACTTCTAACGAGATGCCTACGTGTAACATTTGCTACAAAAGCTTTACGGCAAAGTCGAGCCTGGAAAGGCACATGCTTCTGCATTCAAATGAAAAACCGCACTGCTGCACCAAATGTGACGCTTCCTATCGGCGTGCGCTTGAACTTCGACATCATATGGAAATGGTACACGATGGTAAAAATCCTCACCTCTGCGGTGAATGCAACCAAGAGTTCAAAAACTACCATGCACTCTACATGCACAAGCAGATCGTTCATCTGAAGAAGCCCACCGTAGGAGCCAAATTACGGCAGTATCACTTGGCGTGTAAGCTTTGCAAGGCTTCCCATAAGAAAACATATGATTTGGAGCAACATATAAATGCAACACACGCCAACGAAACCTACCCGTACAGTGAATGTGCGCACTGTCCGCGAACTTTTCTCTCCAACCAACACCTCGCCCAGCATAAGGAAATCCACACGGACAAGTACGCGTGCAAGGAGTGCGGAAAACGGCACACAACCATTCAACGTTTGCAGATTCACATGGAGACCACGCACTCGGATGTTAAGCCGTACGATTGTCCGATATGCATAACAAAGTCGTACAAAAGTTCAACCGCCCTGCGGCAACACATGGCCTCCCATACGCATGGTAAGCAGCATGTGTGTGATTTCTGCGATAAGGCTTTCGTGCGAAAGGATCAGCTGGTGATTCATCGGAGGTATGACTTATTGACTTTAAAACGTAATGACAAATACCTACCTAGTTGAAATGCTCTACTTTTAGAATCCACACGGGTGAAAAGCCATTTCAGTGTGTGCATTGCTTGAAGCGGTTTAGCGATGATGCGACCTACTGCAAGCACAAGAAACGATGTCAGGAAGCAATACCCAAGGTGGAGGAAGAAAATGTTGACGATTTGCTGGATTTTGGCTTTCTGAACAGTTAGTAATGTTGCTGGTAATATTCTGGGAGGGAAGTAGTAACTCCGCAGAATAAATTTGTTGTTAATGGTTGAAATACGGCAAACTGCTTAGTTTTATTAATTATGATTTCGATTTTATGGTATTTGTTTTTTTTTTTCTTTTTTCTTTTATAGTCACTATCACTCTTGGGTCATTCGTGACTTGTTTATTGTTTATTGAAAAATTCAACTGACAATTACTGTCTAAATGAATAAAACTTAAACTAAATAGTTACGGTCAACGGTACGGAAAAGGCCAAGTAGCCGATGACGAAACACGTCAGCTGATACATTGAAGTCGAACATATAAAAAAAGTTGTTGAATTGCCGGCTGATTGCTCGAATTGGCTCGTGTTGTGTATAATTCCGGCTCCGTGGTTCCAAAAACAGAAAGTCGCGTTGACGAAGAGACCTCTCAGGGGCATACATATTTAGTTGTGACAACAGTGTTGGGCAGTCAATGTCACCTGTAAGCAGCTTTCCAGCGAACATAGCTTGAGCGACCGTCCATCTCACCTCTAATGGCTCGATTCCCAGGAGACGGCAACGCTCCTCGTACGGTGGCAAGTTCGTTGGGTCACGCCAGTTGAGGAAACGAAGAGCATATCTCACAAACTTGCGTTGAACGGATTCAATTCTAGTGATCCAGCTAGCATGGAAAGGGCACCAAACAACTGAACTTGACTCCAATAAGGATCGCACAAGCGAGCAGTAAAGTGACCTGAGAGCGGGTCACGAAACTCGTCGGCAATTTTGAAAATAAAGCCCAATTGTCGATTAGCTCTGGAGATGATGTCATTGTAGTGGATTCTGAAAGTGAGTCTGCAGTCCAAGGTAACGCCGAGATCCTTTATGTGCTCTACACGAGCAAGACAGCGTCCGTAGAGAACATAGTCAAACATGATTGGTTCGATTTTTCGGTGATAGGAAATAATGTTACACTTTTCTATGCTTAGACCAGCCCAGTGGCAGGCGCGTAGGCTTCATCTCATACCGTGACAGCGGGCCCAGAACAGCAAAATAAACGATTTGAGCCCGGGACATGCTGCCTACTGTCAAACGCTGCTGTTAGTATAGGCCTTGTCACTGGCCTGGTTTAGACTCATCAAATTTCTTGAGCACCAGTCAGCAAAAATACCTAACATATTCTGGAGATCCCAGCAGTCCGAGAGGCTTTTAATAATTTTGTAGATTTTCGTATCGTCTGCATAGAAAACGCGGCATCCTGATAGTATCAGCAAGGCGACGTCGTTTAAAAAGATCGAAAATAGTAGCGGTCCTAGGTTACTGCCTTGCGGGACTCCCGAGTTGTTTGAGAAAACATCCGATTCCGACGCACCAATCTTGACATGTACATAGCGATTCACCAAGTAAGATCTGAACCAATCCACAGCAGTTGACGAGATGCCAAGTATCTCCAGCTTGGCCAGCAAGATATTATGGTCCACCGTGTCAAATGCAGCTTTTAGATCCATATACGCAGTATCGACTTGCCATCCTGAATCCATGCATCGCAGACAGTTAGAAGTGAACTGCACCAGGTTCGTGGACACGGAGCGCTTCGGGTAGAAACCGTGTTGTTCTGTATCGATATAATTTTACAGCGTGCGAACAGAGCACCATTTATGATAATCTCGAACAGTTTTGAGCAAGCACACAGGGAGGTGATTCCACGATAAATTATGACATTCCGTTTATCTCCTTTTTTGTGCACTGGGAACAGATAAGAAAGTTTCCAGCGGCAGGGGAACTTACATTGCTGTGCCGAGAGATTGAATAGCCTCGCAAGTGGAAGGCAGAGATTGGCTACACAACGTTTTAGAACTGATGACGGAATGCCGTCAGGTCCGGAGGCGAACGAGAGCTTCAGTTTGCGTGTTGCGGCTATCACCATGTCTCCTGAAATGCGCGGAATAACGAAACTAAACACATCACGTGGCATCCCAACAGCAGCATCCAGCACTTGTGTTGGCGAAGCGGAGAAATCGTTGAACACTTGCTTGAAATGACGAGCAAACAAGTCGCATTTTTCTCTTTCACTATTAGCCGAGTCATTCCCGAGAAACATGGAACAAGGCAACCCGGATTCCTTCCGTTTTGAGTTGACAAACGACCAAAAACTTTTCGGATTCGTGCGAAGGTTCGCTTCCGTGCGTCTGACGTGTCGATTATAGAGAAAACGATTGTACCGTGCCGATTCAAATTTCGGACACTTAAACTCGAATTTCGGACACTTTTAAAAGTTGATTATCTCGGTCGAATATGATCCACATGTCTTGTAAATTTTAAATTTTTTTGACTAGTGCCCTCCACGATCATATGGCATATTTGATATTTTCAGCAAACCATGACTCGAAATATTGATATACTCAAAATGATGTCTGAGAAAATATTTCTTTTTCTGGAAAAATATATCGAGTAATTTTGGGTAAACAATCCAAAAACCTGCTCAAGGCTTAAATCCCCTGCGCTGAACTGGCCGGCTTGACGTGCCGTAAGGGTTCCTAATACTTTTATAGACCTGAAGCTAAGTGCTAGGTTCCACAGTGACAGTATCACATCATTCAGTTTTCCCAAATTGTTGTACTAACCCTTCATTTCGATGACTGTATGATTGCCGAAATGATACGGAAATGGGTTAGTGATGTTATATTGTTTATACAAGCTGAGCAGTGCGTGGGGTCCTAGGTGACATTGATCGAGTCTCTTTATCGATGTGCTCCTTTGTTAATAACTTTGCTACAAAACTGCTTCTTTTCGTGTTTTCCGTTTAATGCACTAGATAATAGCTGCACATATGGAACTGTGTGCTTGCAAATGGCTGAAAATATCTCATGGCTTCATGGCCGTGGGGATGCAGGGAGAGGATCGATGAAGAGAGTCTGTCGGTGTCGCTTGGGACCTTATGCAGTGTTCCGCTTGTATTATTTTCTTTGTTTTATTGCTAATATTATGATTTTCGCTTTTTGTTGTTTTCTATGTCACATTACAGACCATATCAAATGTATTACGTACCGAGCGCTCTTTCGGATGCTGAGCGGACTGTCATCTGGAAGGGTTGTGCACGAGGAACGATTTTAATCCTCCCAGTTTTGAAGACATTCCGGAACGAGGATCCATTATCTTGTGTCAGAGGGATGATAAAAGTGGCATATCCAGAAACGCAATACAACAAAAGAAGGAAGTAAGATTGAAGGTAAACAAGGAGTACATGGGAACGTCGAAAACTGTAAGTATACTCCGATCTATTCTAGTACTCTTGTAAACCGGCTGGATCGTAGTCGTCGTCTCCGGAACGCATAGTCATGTGAGGATTGCCAGATTTATGATCACGCCTTCAGACGTTAAGGCGGCGCCTTAATAAAATTTGTATGATTATTTTGCTTAACGACGTCTTCAGGGTATCATCCCAACCATTTGTGGAATAGTTCAATAATTTGGATTATGGTTCGGGTATGGTATTTTTTTTATTAGGGCGGTAGGGCGAGAGGGATGACGGGTTCACTGAGCCTTACAAACTTACATTTCATTGATAGGTAAATCACAGTTTAAAAATCACTAATAATCTCTTTCAATCTCTTTTAATTTCTGTTTTCATTGACGCTTTGATGTAATCGATGCGCTATGTGACGAGAGCGCAAACAAAACGAGACCATTGTTCAACAATACGATAATAAAGGGTGATACGGTCAAAATTTGGTCAAGGGAAAACGCGTGTAAATCGGTAAAATCGTTTATTTAAAAAATCAAATTAAATTTCTTTTTCAAGTTCAATTAGTATAAAATTCAGGAAAAATATTCAGTTAGGCTTCCGCTTTTCCAAATCCGAATTGCCGGGCCTTACGCTTGACCCCTGCCATCAGATTTTGTACAGCCACCTTGTCCACCTTCTTCGCCGCAGAAAGCCAGTTTGCCTTGAACTGCTGCTCGCCCTTAGCAGTTTTTTTGGTCTTCTTTAGGTTCCGCTTGACAATAGCCCAGTATTTCTCAATTGGGCGGAGCTCTGGCGTGTTGGGAGGGTTCTTGTCCTCGGGAACCACCTGCACGTTGTTGGCGGCGTACCACTCCATGGCCTTTTTACCGTAATGGCAAGATGCCAAATCCGGCCAAAACAGTACGGAACAACCGTGTTTCTTCAGGAAAGGCAGCAGACGTTTATTCAAACACTCTTTCACGTAAATTTCTTGGTTGACAGTCCCGGAAGCTATGAAAATGCTGCTTTTCAAGCCACAGGTACAGATGGCTTGCCAAACCAGATATTTCTTTGCGAACTTTGACAGTTTCATGTGCTTGAAAACATCTGCTACCTTTCCCCTTCCTTTTGCCGTATAAAACTCCTGTCCCGGAAGCTGCTTGTAGTCGGCTTTGACGTAGGTTTCGTCGTCCATTACCACGCAGTCAAACTTCGTCAGCATCGTCGTGTACAGCCTCCGGGATCGCGCTTTGGCCGTCGTATTTTGTTTATCATCGCGATTTGGAGTCACTACCTTCTTGTAAGTCGATAGTCCGGCTCGTTTTTTGGCTCGATGCACGGTTGTAGACGATACACCCAGCTTATTTGCGGCATCTCGGAGAGAAAGGTTAGGTTTTCGCTTGAAACTACCGGCAACTCTCTTTGTCGTCTCAGCGGCTTCCGGTTTTCGATTTCCCCCCGATCCGGACTTCCTGGCTGTCGACAAACGTTCCCCAAACACTTTAATTACATTTGTAACGGTTGATTTCGCAACTTTTAGCGATTTTGCCAACTTTGCGTGCGAGTAGCTCGGATTTTCGCGATACGCGAGCAAAATTTTGATACGCTGCTCTTCTTGCTTGGACGGCATTTTGACAACTGAAGAGTGAATTCCAAAATCAAAATAGGAGCAACATTCTACACACACACACCTTCAAAATGAGGGGTGTTCAGGTTTTTTAAATGCAAAATTGAAAGAAATACGTCAAGTTGATATTGACCAAATTTTGACCGTATCACCCTTTACCACAGACAAACAGACGTAACACTTCGTTGCGTATCTTCGTTCACGCATTTAATGGTTGATTTGAATATTATCAGTTCCGCGAACTACTCGCTGCAGCGCTGGCATCGAATCACTTTGACGTTTCTATACATTCTATAGAACTTTTATGCAATATTGTTTGCGAGCTAGCAAGCAAGCTTGTTTTCCGCGAGAAGCCCGAGAGATGTCCTCACTGAGGTCCTATGTTTTGAGATACTATGTTTTCAAGAAAAACTTTTTCAAAGAGCTACGTCTGTTTGTCTGTGATAATACCTTATGCGCTTTTCACACAAGCCTACCCAACCATTTTCCTTTCAGCAGCTGGTTCACCATAAGTGTACCTCGCAGAAATGTTTTAACCCCCATGGGTAAAGATGCTGTGTTACTCACTCGTCTCCCCTTCCCTGGTGTATTATGGATAGTATGAATATTCACATTGGTGACATGGCCCCTGACCCCCTTGTTCATCATAAAATGAAAATGAAACAATCCAAAAACCTGCTCAAGGCTTACATAACAAAAAATACCATCTGAAATATTATTCAATATATCACCTACTATATCAATAATAAAAATAAACTCGGTTGTACGTTAGACTGATGCAAAATTTGACTTTTTCGCTCCACAGTGCTTAAATGGTTTCAAATCGGGTCCTGATTAGCCTCCCAAAGTTACAACTCATTTGGTTAGAAACAGACTTCGCACAAGCCATTTGAAGTTTACATGTAAATGGCTATGGGAAATCTCAGCTTTTTGTTCATTGCCTTCTAGTCTTTTTCCATATTGAGCTGCGAAGCAGTTCGATAACCATTCTTATAGAAAATTTTCTCAGCTACAACTTTGCTGAAGATCGTTTCTATGTAAAACGAGACAGGAAAAAGTTATTAATTATTTAAGAGATAGGTAAACTTATGACATGATCAAGCAGCTGCTCTATAGGCAACACTGTATTTTGCAGTGTGACATAGTAGCCATGATTTTTGTGTCCTATTCAACGCCCCAGAAACACCAATGTTGCCTGCTGAGCAGTTGATTGAGCATGATCATAAGACATCAGCGCATTGAACCATTGATTACATTCGATCCTTGAATTTAATCAAAAAGTGGTCTTCAGCAAAGTTGTAGCTGGGAAAATTTCGTACAAGTACAATTGAAATTTTTTGAGGCAGACCGATATGGTGAATTATTAGATAGACATGAACAAAAATCTTGGTTTTATTATAGTTATTCCCATACAAACTTCAAATGGTTTGTGCCATCTCAGTTTTTCACCAAATGGGTTCAAATTTTGAGAGGTTAGTCAGGATCCGATTTGGAATCGTTTAAGTATTGTGGAGCAAAAATTTCAAATTTTGCATCACTCTATTGTACGTCATTTCCAGTAAAACCGTTTCCCGAAATGTACCTTTTCCCAGAAATCCATTTCCCGAAACGTAACAGTAGTGTAAACATATTTACGTTCATACCTTTAGTGATTCATTGCCCTTACCCTATTTATGAGGAAGAATGAGACATAAACCTAACTACTCAATTTAAGGCTACAATAATGGGTTGTGCTACATGACCACGAATGCCACTTCCCCGAATTAATGAGATTCTGTGTTCGGTACGGAACGCCTTGGGTAAACTGTTCCGTATCAGAATCTTAGTCGTTTCAATCCGGGTCACTGTTTCCCATCAGTAGCACCTTCTTTCCTCGCTTGGCAACTGCCTTTTTGGTGTACTGACGTTTTCCAAGGACTTCAGTTTTGTGAAGCTTCTGTTGTTCCTTGATCATAACTTGTGATGCGAAATAAATGGAACATGTTTTGAAAATTCTGGTTTTCAATGTCTGCTGAGATGGGCAATAGGTGTCATACAGAAGTTCCTTATACGAAAGAAGCGATTTCGGAAGAATATTCGCCAAATTGACAGAATTTCGAACAAACAGCGACGGGAAAGTGACGATAAGATCTCTTGGACTTGGTGCTTTCAATCCATCTGGAATTTGGCTGATAGGAACAGGAGCTGGCATGAATTGATGTTGGTTAACACTGAAGTAACTACTCCGTGGTTCTGTGCAGCAGCTCCTCTCGTTACATTTTACGACTTGCAAAAAGTACAGGGATGTCTTTACATGTTGAGCAGACCATTTAACTGAGTAACCTGCTATTTCCGATTCGTCGAGTTGAGAGTTAGCAGGCTCAATGATTCTGCTTTAACCGGATATCCATCGATGGACAGATCGTTCCACACATCAGCCAATGTTTCACCTATGCACTTGAAATTCCTCGCTTCCAGTTCCGGGTCCTTTGTTTTGAGTTGTTGATCAAGATGAGACCCATAATGATCGTGGGAAGTATCAAACCTGCTAGCTCCCGGGAAAGAAGAGCCATCCGACGCTCAACGCGGTTAAACGCACTACGTCCTGGGGCGTTTGGGGAAATTAATATTGCGTTTAGGTTTCATTGCACGATGGAATGAATCGCCTTTTTGTTGCGAAGGTTCTCGTCTGGTCCTCCGTTTACGGTAATTATGACTATAGGCTTGATTGTTTCTTGATACCCTATAATTTCATCGAATTCAGCACAAGGTGGCAGAGTGACTTACGTTCTGTTTCCCTTCGCTTGTATTTCGGAGAGTTTTTCAGAAATAAATTGTTCCTGGGTCTTTGGATTTTCCTAGGATTTGTTCCAAATAAGCACTGCATCATCATACTGGGATTTCTTCTTGTTGTTCTGAGGGTCTGAACGATTGCGTTGAGAAGACGGTGAAATTAGAGTCGGTGTATAATGAGTCACGCCAAGAGTGAAGCCAAGTCTACCTATTGAACTGTCAAACCGGCTACCTATATCGTGCAAAGTAAACAAGCATTACGATGCTATGAAAGGTCCACGAAAGGTATTGCAATTAAATATAAAATATAACCGAAGAAATGATCATATACACGCAGTGAGCATTACATTTGTCATGCGATACGTTTTGTAATGATCAGTAATGACAATTTATACTATTTTTCCTTAAGATAATTCGACAAAATCACTGATATAATGATTTACTACAACCGTTAATTTTTTTCCTCGCTAGAAGTCATTTGAAAATGATGCAGAAGTCCTCTGTTGCCAAGTTAAAAGAAAAGGAATCTTTCGAAAACCGTGATGCGAGTTCAACTGTTTTTCTCTTGGCGTGACTCATTATACACCAACTCTAGGTGAAATAGTTCGTTATTATTCATTTTTACTTTTGCTACCAGAACTGCTCACAGCCATTGGTCCCTAGATACGTCAACTTAGCGGACGTTACGTAATATGCACTGAACAATTACAATAAATAGACATAGGGGAAATGACGGCTTCGGCATGCCAGACTATTTTCGGCAACCCAAATTGAAACACTATTTTCACTGGCTTTTCTTACGAAAACACTTCGCTGAATGCATGCAAACGATTCTTTATGCTTTCTGCTTCAATTTGACTATATTTTTACCACTGAGAAAAAGCAATCTAGCAAGGTTTTCTTGAAATGAAACACACGCACTACAAATTGTAGCTGATTTCGAGTTGCCGATAATAGAACAGCAGATTTACATGCAGTTCAAATGGAACGGTTGCCGAAGAAAAACTGGTTGCCGACAATACTCGCTCTCACTAGAGAAGATTGGAGCTTTGTAAAAGCGTTTCAAAACAGTTTTTGACAATTCTTTCGACTGGAATTGTTAGAGCAGCTGGCAGCAAAAGATTGTAAACAAACCAATACTGCATATGTGTGCGTTCCTTAGAGAAAAAGGCTATAGAAAGAAGGTCGATGCTTAGGTTGCCGAGAATACGTAAATTCCCCTATTTGTTGATCATCGAAAGAAAAAATACAAAGAAAAATTTCTAGGTTCTATGGCTAGGGTTTAGGTGCCAGGCCAATACTATTTGGGCTAATTCATATTAGTCGGTCATCGCTATAAACAACGCCTAGAAATCCTATATCTACATATATCCTACTGAAAATCGTAACTTTTGTGGGGAACTAGTGCTTTCGGGGAATAACCGTACAATCGATGGGTTCGATAGGTTCCAGGTGTGGAACTCGATTGCCGTCTGTGATTTACACTCGATTGCCGAATAGTGACCGACGTCAAGTAAAGGGAAAGAAGATGTTCGATTAAAATCATTAGAATCATACTTCTAGCTAAGCCCAACACTTTTGCAAGGTTTTCTTTCTAACTCGATGATATTAAACCAACCGTTAGATTGTAGATTATTATTCAGCATGCAAATGATCTGCAGATCACTAAACGTACGGCTTATGATGTCTTCCGTTTACTTCTTGGAAACCGATGCCAGACAGCGCTTCTTGTGCTTGGAAAAGGTTCCATCATCGCCGAACCGCTTCAAGCAATTCGGGCACTCGAAGGGCTTTTCACCAGTGTGTGTTCTGAAACAAGATGGAATCAATAAGAAGACGAACAAACAAATCACACTTCTCGTACCTTCGATGAATCGTCAATTGATCTTTTCGATGGAACGTTTTGTCACAAAATTCACACGAGAACCGTTTGCCTTTGGTGTGTATGGTCATGTGCGTATGCAGTGCTGTTTGACTTTTGTAGGTTTTCGTAAGGCATATCGGGCAGTTAAACTGACGCTTTTCGTGGATGCTTTCCGTGTGATATCTGAGCGCTTGAGCGGATCCGAATTTTTTCCCACACTCCTTGCAGGCACATCTGTCCGTGTGCATTGGCTTATGACAATACAGGCTTTGTTTACTGACAAATTTACGAGGACACTGTGGACATTCGAAGTACGGGTAGGATAAGTCAGCGTGAGAAATATCTATATGCTGCTGGAGATCAGAAGTTTTCATAAATATCTCATTGCAAAGCTTGCAAAACTGAGCGTACTGCAATTTGGATGGATTTAAACCGCGTAAGTTTATCTTCTTCAGATGGATTATACGCTTGTGGCTGTATAAGGCCTCATACGATTTGAACCCCTGGTTGCATTCGACACAAATGTGAGGATTTTTACCCTCGTGCACTTTTTGCACGTGGTGTTTGAGAAGCAGTAGACGCTGGAAGGAGGCATCACATTTGTCGCAACTGTAAGGCTTTTCGTTAGTATGTAGCTGCATGTGTCTGGTGAGGCTACCGTGTGTCGTGAAGGATTTTCTACAAATTTTACAATTGGGCTTTTCTTTGTATGCGCTATGCTTCATTCGAACATGGCGCGTCAACACGCTCATGTACATGAATGATTTTCCACATGTTTCGCAAATGGCAGGGTTGATTTTTTCCTCGAACGGTACAACATCGTGGTTCGTGCCATGATGCGTATTTTCGTGCATCATCATGGATCTCTTTATTTTGAAACGCATCGGACAGACGCTGCATTTGTGAGGCCTCTCGGTTTGGTCATGGCGAGACAGGTGCTTGTTGTATCCAGACAGCATGGGAAAATCGCGCGAGCATTCCTCACAACGATTGGCTTTCATGTCTGAATGTTTCTCGGTCAGATGAGAGGACAGCTCGTTTGCGCTTTCAAGAATCACCGGACAGATGTAACATTTCCTTGCGATAATCTCTTTGAGCGATAATTCTGGTTGTTTCGAGTCGTCACTGAAAGAAATTGAAATTATGTATGATTCTACTAACGGGACCTGTTGCAACTTACCAAGAAGTAGAACTCGCTTCATCACCGGATTGATTCATAAGGATATCAACTAGATCTTTCGGAGGGGTCCATTCGTTGCTGACGTCTGATTCTGTGTGTAAATCTTCTTGGTCTTCCTGCATGATCACCTCCACCGGCGGCTTTAACTCTATCGACTCACGGATTTCTTTTGCATTATCCCGAGCAAGGCTAATGAGGTTGTTAAACTTGGTCTCGGCGTCCATGAAATCCTTCTGAATCGAGGTCAGTAGTTCCAACCGAGCAAGACAGTCAATGCAAATCTGCTCCAGTATATCGTTTGATTGGAAGTCAATACCTAGCGATTCGGAAACGGTGAGTGTAATGTCCATTCCTGATAGTTTTCCATCCTTGGAAACCATATCGCAAATTGGGTAGAACCGTAGGCACAGTCTACAGCTGTCGATTTCCACTTTCTCCGTCTTGCTGAAATACCACCAGAAGTTACAACTTGCTGTCTTACTATATATGACCTAGAGGGAGAGGTACATACCAATTGAAGAAGATCTTCGGTTCTTGATACACCTCACCGTCCGGTTTTGAGAAATGCCAGTGGCAGATTTCCTTCTGACTCAAATCGTCATCATCAGCCGCTTTGACCTCACATCCTACCTGGATCGCTTCAAGCCAACGTCCCGAGAGGGATATGTTCTGGGGAAACAACTTGAAAGTTCCCACGGAGGCGCCACAGGTCGGAACAATGCAGGGCATTTTATGTCGAATGTTAACTGTAATTGGTAAAATAAGATATAAAGCTCACAGCTTGACGCAAAAAGTACAACACTCTTTTCCAAAACAAGCAATCAAAATGTTTTTCTGCTGCCACTTGGGCTGGACGGATCCCTGTCAATTCTGTCAACACCTAGGACAGGACGCGTCAGATCAGATAGCCTTCATGTAATTCGACAGTGAGTATTCATAAGGGCCAATATCAACAATCAATACGAAACTAACGATTTTAAATTGGCTCACTACTTGACCAGCCTATTGGTCCCAAGCAAACGATTAACGTCCCCATTCTAGTCGAAATTCTAGTACTACGCAATGTTTGTTTTGATTCGCTATGAAAGTTTGACAGATAAAATGAGGGGTTATTGGTTTTTCTTATGTTTCGAGGGGTGAATCGATTAGTTTGGGACCGAAGAGAGTACCAGAGCTGAGCCAAAAAGTTGAGCACGTTATTTCGGACCTTCTAGTCTTAGAGTTACCTCTATGCCAATATCGCATCATGCTTAAACGGAGAAAAACGAGTTTGATATGTCCGAGGGGGGCCCGCATAAATCCCAACCATTCGATAACCACACTGAGAATGGTTTATCTTCCTGTAAAAACCATAATGATAATGGTTCAGTCAACTTTAATCGAACCATACCCAGATAAACTATTGACCATATTGATTAAGGTTTTCGAAGGCCCAACCATACCAAGGTTAAGAACATTCACCATACGAAATCTAACTTTTTTCCATACATTTTTTGCAAAGCAACTATACTGCCGTAATACCGAGCGTAATACGCAGAAGGTCGTTCACAATGCTGAGTTTCAAAATTGTTTTAAACTACACACTTAAAAATTTTCGCCGAGATTCCAACAGCCGAGTAGTTCTGCAATTTATTTTGCTGAGATTCAGTAAAACAATTGCCGAGACTCAGCTAACAAATATCATTTTGCTGAGATATCAGCTAACAAACAGATATTTTGCAGATATATCAGCAAAAGCAAATGCCGAGGTAATCGGCTGTTGGAGATTTTACCGAGCTAGATTAAGTGTGTAAGAGTCCCACGGTGCATAAGGATTGCATAGAACATGGGACAGTTATGCGTATAACGGCAGTATAGCCTTACCAGCGTTGCCAGATATACCGATTTATCGGTATTTATACCGATTTCCGAACTAGATACCGATATACAGATACGGTTCCTCAAAATACCGATTGTTGAGGTGTTATACCGATATATACTGATTTTTTTAAATAATCGAAATCAAAATGTTTGTGTGTCTTTAAAATTCTAAAAAAAAATCATCTTCAAAAATGTCTTATGGATATTTCAATTTCTCCACCGTTTTTGGCTATCCATGAATCGATAAATAGTCGATGGCTCTTTCTGCACGGATAGAAATCTCCTTATACCTTTTGGCAAATTTCCATTGCTGATTATTCATAAATTGTATAAGTCAACTAATAAGCAGACGCCTTGCACAAAGTTAATAAAGATCATGTGTCAAATAAAATGTATAAGTGGTCACACATACCTTTTATGCATTTTAATAGGACCTATGTGGTTTGTCTTATGGAATGTATAAGGCTGATGCTTTGGCATAAATGTATGAGTGAAACCTTGAGTGAAACACATGAATTAAATAATTGATTTTCGTTTCGTGTGGTAATTCCGGGGGAATCGGGAAATACTTTTTAAACATTATTTAACTTCCTGGAATTTTCTATTTACGATTCCTCTCGGAAACTTATTTCGACTTCTCTTGAAAGATTCTTCAGCCTTCACTCGAATGATTCTTCCCGGAACTTCAGGGCAAGGTTGCAAAGACTCATTTCAGCTAAAACAATGTTTTTCTAAATTATGAAATAATTAGATGCCATGATCAAATTTTGAATTGGTAGGATACAAGAAGAGGTTGCAAAGAATGTGTTTGACATATTAAACCTGTTTATTTCACTTCATGAGAGTCACAATCAGTGATTTTTCACAAACTCACTCACTCACTCACTCACTCACTCAGCGATCAACAAATCGCTGATTGTGACTCATAGAAAGCAAAATTTACAGGTTTTATGTTTCCAACGCATACTTTGTAACCTCTTCTTGTAAGTTACAAGTAAAACATGCCATCATACCATCTTTTGGTTTTATTATTCCGAAAAACATTATTTTAGCTGAAATGAGTCTTTGCAACCTTGCTTCAGGGATGCTTCTAGATTTTGATTGCGGATCAACACTAGCTGCAGGAACTTTTAAAAAAGTTCTGAAACTTCAGAAAAGTCCAGACTTTTGAGTAAGTTTCGATAAATTAAAGAAAGTAGCTTCTGTAAAAATTCTAAACTTAACGAGACATCATAAATATTTTGGATACTTCGAACTTCTGGAAAATTTAATGGTTTTCAGGACAGTTACATTAGTTTCTGGAGAATTGAGAGAACATTAGGAAGCTCCGAGAATATCAGGACAATCAGATCAGATCAATAAATTTCAAGGAAATCGGGGCTCATACAAATTTAAGAAACGTAAGAGAAGTTACACGAACATTAGCAGATTGTTAGAACATTTTATAGAAAGTTCCGTGCTTATTGTTGGCAGTGTCGATAATTTTTTTAAATTAGAAAAATCGGAAAGATCAGAGAACTTCAATGCTGATGTTACAATAAATTCAAGAAAATTGTGAGAGTGCTTAAAAAATTTCGTAATCTTCAAGAAAGTCTAGAAACCTTCAAAGTTGATTACAGATATTCCGGTAGTCTCATCATAATCAGGGAAGTTTATTTCAAAGATGATCAGAGTACTCTAAAACAGCCCGAGGAAATATGGAATATTCCTAAGTACATTTCAGGAATGTTACAAAAATTTTAAGGATGTTTTATGACCATTTGGAAAATTTTCTGGATCATTAGAACATCTCCCAAGAGATCTTTCTTCCGGAATTATGTCTTTGTTTCTTTGGACAGTTCCGTAAGCGCTCTGGCTTCCGACTTTCTCCAGATTTTTTTTGACGTCGGATAACGTCTTTCGGCAACATACGGGGGTACAAAATTGAAAACAGTCATTTTGGATGCGTTACGAAAAATTAAAAGATTTTGAACGATAATAACTCAACCGTCTCTCGATAGATTTACGAGATAATGGCATCAATCGATTGAAAATATTTCTAGCAATTTGCTGAATGTTTCAAAACTATTGATTTCATTCTGTAAACTATTGAAAAATGGTTAAAAGTAAACCATTGTCTAAAGATGGTGAAAATCGATTGATTTTTTTATATTCTTATACTTTCTCCAACCGAGACATCAGATGCGAGTATCTGACACCTCTGATATTTTCTGTTCTACTATATAAGCGTCCAACAAGGTCGCCCGTTCCATCATTGTCTATCCGATCGTCGATCCATCAGCAGAGCAGCAGTACCAGAGCAGCGGAAGCAGAGCAGCGGCAGCAGAGCCTGGGGGCGAAAAGGCAACTACGCCGAGTGCGTTGGTGCCAGTGCTCCGGTATACTGGGTCGCCGTCATGGAATGCCCAGCTGTTGCAGTTCTCAGTCGGTCGTATTCACCGTCTGCTCCGCAAGGGCAACTACGCCGAGCGCGTTGGAAAAATCGGGAAAAATTGCCCTTTTCAGAGCCACAACATTATCAAGAAAGAGTTTAACGATTAATTTTCTAATGCCTTTCCGACACTTGAATATCGAAAGTTGAATCTTCGCAGAGCCATAGATTCCATTTTTATTGCATTTCTACAAAACTTATTTCAGAATCGAACTCGTCTTCACATACTGTGTGAAGAAAAACGATGCATCATCGAGCACAACCCGTTCCGTTCCAAAATCGTCCTCATCACAACCTCCAAAACAACCATCTACCCTCTCGACATCTTGAGTGGATTTCCCGGTTCATCATACCACCTAGCGCTGTTCTACTGATTGGTTATAATATTTACCCGGAGTTCACCGCACTCGTGGTTGAAGCAAAGCGCCCGGCATGCAAACCGCTCATCAAAATCGCCATCGCCATCCGGTACCCATGCTCGGCATAACCATCATTCCAAAACCACAACCAAAACGGCCCTTTTCAGGGCCACCAATAATTCGACAAAGAGTTAGTTTTGAAGACAATTTCTTTCCAGAATATCACAGTTACACTTAAATTTGGGGACTATACTGGGGTGTGGGAACGTTGGAAGGGGAGATGCTGTCTGTCTTCGAACTACCAACATCATTCCAAAGCTCCTCCAGGACGACAGAGTAGAGCAAACCCAACAACATCAGCCCAACAAAACGCCCCTTTTCAGGGCCACCAAACTTTCGCAAAAGAGTTATTAAGGAATATTCCTAAAATATAATATACACAATTAAGTACAACACATAACAGACGTTATCCAACGCCAACCCTGCGGTCGTATCTAGTATACAACCCTTCCAACTTTTTGTTTTTTTCCAATCTACCTTAGGAAGTTTCTGCCAGCGTCTCCAAGAAGTTTGGTCCGTCTTCTCCAGGAAGTTCAATTAAACTTCTCCCAAAAATTTCTTTCTTTTAGTTCTGGAATTTTGCCCAGCTGTTTTTTTTTTTAGTTCTTTCGGAAGGTTTTTCCGAGCTTCTTCTGGCTTCCCCTGGAAATGGCTACTTCTGGAATTTAGTTCCGGTTTCCGAAACTTTTCTGCCTTCATTTGAATGTGAAATCCGATTTTTTTTTTCTGAGTTTCTTTAAATTTTCGCCAGAAGTTTCTCAATTTATGTCTTGGAAGTTCCGCAGATGTTTTTCCGACTTCTCTCAGAACCTACCTCAAATTTCCTCCAGGAGAGCTTCTTTCTCTGGCTCTTGTTTTTAGCTTCCTCCAGAAACTAATTCAAACATTCCCCAGAGTTTTCTTCCGGAATTTTCCGATCATAGTCCAAAAGTTAAAATTTTCGCTTTCAAAAACGCCTAAAATATAAAATTAATTAAAATAGTAAATACCGATAAATAGCGATTTTTTAAAACCTTTGATACCGATAAGCTTTAAAACATTCTGGCAACGCTGAGCCTTACCCAAGTTTTTAGAAATGTCTGCACCTTTGAGTAGAAGTGACTCTCTCCTGCGTTATTCTTAATATCCGTGTATAGAATAAACAAAACAACATTAAAGGCCGTTCGCAATGCTGAGTTTCAAAATGGACCACTTTGTCAAGCAGTTTTACCGTGACTTTCTACCAGCGATTTCACAAAATTGGGCTAACAAATGACTATTTTACTATGAAACGCACTTCTTTTGGCTACTTTTCTCGTGGTTCTAGAAGAAAAACCCTCAAAATATTGTGTTATTTCGAAGTTCAAGTGGTAGGAAACGTCATTTTCAACTGCTCGAATTAAATGGTTAATTGTTTTAAACTCCTCGACAATAATTCTATAATTTGAAACTGTCAAAAATAAAACTGCAACACGATCAGCGCAACGCACAGTTCTAACAGATGTTTGTAATCATCAAGTTCCATAAACTTTACTGTTTTCTATGAAGTTCATAGAGTTTTTTGTGAAGCTCTTCGAAACATCTTTAAATACATACAAAGAAATTTGAAACAGAGTTCCATTCGTGTTTCAAACTCGCTCAGAAATAAAACAGAATAGTCGAGCAGTTGCAAATCTGGTGCAAAATAGTGCTCGAATAATGAAACTGCAACTCAGCATTGCGAGAGGTGCGTTTCTGTTCTAGTTTCAAATTGAAACAATCCTTATAAAATACAACAGCATTGCGAACGGCCTTGCTTGATATAGTGGATATAGTGTGAAGCTGATGAGCTTTCTCATTTTCATCAGGATTTTCGCCTATTTTACAGTTAACATTCGACATAAATGCCCTGCGTTGTGCCAACCTGTGGTGCCTCCGTGGGCACCTTCAAGTTGTTTCCTCAGCACATATCCCTCTCGGGACGTTGGCTTGAAGCGATCCAGGTAGGATGTGAGGTCAAAGCGGCTGATGATGGCCATTTGAGTCAAAAAGAAATCTGCCACTGGCATTTCTCAAAACCGGACGGTGAGGTGTATCAAGAACCGAAGATCTTCTTCAACTGGTATGTACCTCTCCCTCTAGGCCATATATAGTAAGACAGCAAGTTGTAACTTCTGGGGGTATTTCAGCAAGACGGAGAAAGTGGAAATCGACAGCTGTAGACTGTGCCTACGGTTCTACCCAATTTGCGATATGGTTTCCAAGGATGGAAAACTATCTGGAATGGACATTACACTCACCGTTTCCGAATCGCTACGCATTGACTTCCAATCAAACGATTTCCTGGAACTGATCTGCATTGAGTGTCTTGCTCGATTGGATCTACTGAAATCGATTCAGAAGGATTTCATGGACGCCGAGATCAAGTTTAACAACCTGATTACCATTGCTCGAGATAATGCAAAAGAAATCCGTGAGCCGATAGAGCTACCGCCGCCGGTGGAGGTGATCATGCCGAAAGATCGAGATGAATCCAACTCAGAGTCGGACGGCGGTATCGTTGAAAAAGATAGCAACGATGAATGGACTCCTCCGAAAGCTCTAATCGATATCCTTAAAAATCAATGTAGTGATGTTGCGAAACATAAAACGAACTCTACTTCTTGGTAAGGTCCCGTTCGTAGATGTGTTTAAAATCATGCATATTTAACTTTCTTTCAGTGACGGCTCTAAACAACCTAAATTAAACCTCAAAGAGATGATCGTAAGGAAATGTTACATCTGTCCTGTGGTTCTTGAAAGCGCAAACGATCTAGCCTCTCATCTAACCGAAAAGCATGCAAATAAAGGAGCCATTCGTTGTGAGGAATGCTCGCGTGATTTTGCCATTTTGTCAGCATACAACTACCACCTTTCACGCCATGACCCAACCGAGAGGCCTTACAAGTGTAGCTTCTGTCCGATACGGTTCAAAACGAAAAGAGCGAAGATGGTGCACGAAAATACACAACACAACATGAACCACGATATTATAATGTTCGATGAAAAAATTAAGCCAGTCGTTTGCGAAACTTGTGGAGAATCGTTTATGTTCCAGCGCAAGTTAAGGTATCATGTTCGACAGAAACATGCATCCAACAAGCCTACGTGTAAAATTTGCGGAAACACCTTCACGACACAAGCAACCCTCTACAGACACATGCTGGTACACACGAACGAAAAGCCTTACGTTTGCAGCAACTGTGATGCCTCCTTCCGGCGTCTATTCGATCTCAAAAATCATGTGCAGAAAGTTCACGAGGGTAAAAATCCTCACGTTTGTGCCGAATGCAATAAGGAGTTCAAATCGTATGAGGGCTTATACCACCACAAGCGGAACGTTCATCTAAAAACGGCGAAGCCTAAATCTCAACAGGATCAGCTTAAATGCATGCTTTGTGATGAAATTCATTGGAACACTACTTCTGATCTGCAGCAGCATATATCGATTTCTCACGCTGACGAATCCTATCCGTACTTTGAATGTCCGCAATGCCCTCGAAAATTTATCAACAAGCAAAGTTTGTATTCGCATAAGGGCGTGCACACGGACAAATTTGTCTGCAAGGAGTGTGGGAAAAAATCCGGATCCGCTCAAACGCTCAAAATTCACATAGAAAGTGTCCACGACAAGCGTCAATTCAACTGCCCGATATGCCTTACGAAAACCTACAAAAGTCAAGCAGCATTGCGTTCGCACATGAAAACACACACCAAAGGCAAACAATTCTTGTGCGATTTTTGTGACAAAACGTTCCACCGAAAAGATCAATTGACGATTCATCGAAGGTAGGAGAAGTGTGATTCGTTGTTTCCTCTTCTTATTGATTCAATTTTGTTTCAGAACACATACTGGGGAAAAGCCCTTCGAATGCCCGAATTGCTTGAAGCGGTTCGGCGATGATGGGACCTTTTCCAAGCACAAGAAGCGCTGTCTGGCATTGGTTTCCCAGAAGGAAGGGGAAGCAAGTGTTAGTGCAACGCTGAACTCGTAAGCGGTAAGGGGACATACATAAATGATGTAGCATTTAAGGGGGAGCCCATTGTTCAAAATAATACTACGATGATTCCTAAGTTGATATCGAATAATACAGTGTAATAATTGATTTGATCTCATCGAGCTTTGACTATCTGTTGGAAAGAATACCTTGCAATAATATGAGCTTGCGAATGCGTTTATTTGGTTCTACATCAACAGACTGGGTTTAGTCCTAATGATGGATTAAGCAATACTAGGAAATACAATATAGTCAAGAAGTAACAAGCTGCAAAGGCCGTGAAGTAGCCCATTGATAGCACCATGCGAACTATAGTTTGTACGACGAAAAGGTATCCTCAGCATTGCGTTGTTACGGTGTACTCGCAGTTGAACGTTAACGTCGATTTGTTGTAGAATAGAAGGACAATCGATTCTGCCCTGTAGAATGTCTGCCCTTGTCAGGGCCCTTGTCGTATCTTTTCGACTCCACAAAGGATCCAGGTGAATTAACTGGCACCGACTTTCGTAGCTTGGAAGGCGATGAGGATCCCTCCAAGGCAATCGTCGAAGGGCAAACCAGATGAATCGTCGTTGAATAGACTCTACTCTTTGTACACTGTTTTGGTAATTGGGATTCCATACAGGGCAGCAGTATTCTAACACCGACCGGACGAGGGAGCAGGAAAGCGACTTCAAACAGTAGATGTCCGTGAATTTTTTGCTATCCTGAAAATGAAGCCGAGCGTTCTGGATGCCTTGTCGATCACGTACGAGATATGCTGTACGATGTACATCAACGCCTTCTAGGATATAACTGAATGTAATTGGATGTTTCTTTCGTGAGAACGTGATTACTGAACATTTTGATGAATTTACAACCATGCGGTTCAGTTGCAAAAGCAAAAGCGTTGAGTTGGAGTTGGAGAAGGTGGCAGTCAGCGATGGCTCGAATTCTGCGAACGACAGTCTTGGACCGTCGAGCACGAAATTGACGTCGTTGAAATACACAAGAAATATCAACGGGCCGAGGTGGCTACCTTGCGGAATACCCGAAGTGGCAGGGAACGAAGGAAATCGGCAGTCGTCGATTGCAACTAACTTCCAACTGACGATCAGATAGATAGGATGCGAACCATCGTAGGAGACTGCCGTTTATACCAAGCCTATCCAGTTTGGCGATCGCTATAGGATGGTTCAACTTGTCGAAGGCGGCTGATAGGTCAATGTAGATGACATCTGTTTGCATATGGTCTGTCATACTCTCAGTCATGTACGACGTGAGACACAGAAGGTTGGAAGTAGTCGACCGCCCTGCCATGAAACCATGCTGGTCTTCGCTCAAGTGCTGCTTGAAGTGAGAGACTAATGGTTCCATAACGACCAACTCGAACAGTTTAGATATGGCACACAACTACCTATGTGATGCCGCGATAGTTGTCGATGTTTCTTTTGTATCCCTTCTTATGCCTGGAAACATCTAAGTTGATTTCCAGCAGGAAGGAAACACCCCACTGGAGAGGGCCATTTCGAACAGAAGACAGAGAGGAGCCACCAGGCTATCGATGTGTTGCTTGAGAAAGACGGAAGGAACTTCGTCAGGTCCAGGCTTAAATGAAGACTTCAGTTTGCAAAGCCACCCTAGCATGCTTGGCATACACAGTTGTACACACCAACTGCTCATTTGTTAATAACTTATCACTCAGTTGTTGAAATTTGTTTTTCTTTAAAGTAATTGATAGATCAGCTTACTATAGATATGCAAAAAGTAGCTAAATCTTAACATTTGAATCAACACCAATGAATTTTTACTCTTAAAGTCCGAGATGTGCATCGAGCATTTCTCACTTTATTTTTATAACTCAAAAACAAATGCAGTTTATTACTAGAATTGAAACCTACTTTGTTTTATATATCTATAACAAGCTTAAACTCTATTCTATCTACTGCTTAAAAAAGAACGATGTTTCGTCAACTCTGTGTAAAGTTATTAGCAAATGAGCAGTTCGTGACCAAAACTGTGTATGCCAAGCATGCGCCCTAGTTATCATAGCGAGGTCAATGTTGATAGCTGCCAAAGATTTACCAGACATTGGAACATTACTGGCTGCTAGAGAAACGTGCTCGTCAGTTAGGTTCTCATCCGAGAATACACTCGCAAACGTGGTTGAGAACAGACGGCAAATGTCCTGAGGGGATGAACCTTCTTCGCCGTTCAGTACCATAGTCGATGGAAGGCCAGACTCCTTTCGTTGCTCATTCACATAATTCCAAAAAGTTTTCGGGTGAAATCGAAGCTTCCGTTGAACATCTCGTTGATAACGCCGATAACATTGGCGACTGGTTCGTTGATACGCATGATCCTCGCATAATGGTCCTTGAGTTGTAGGGCGGCTCTTTTGGAAGACTTTAACATACGGAGTTCACTTGTTTGCCAAGGATGGTGATTACCTTGTTTAGGAACTTTTTTCGGAACGTGTCGCTCAATGACGTAAGTCAAAATAAGTAAGAGCGTTTGGGCAGCTGCATTGACATCGGCAGGGACGAATATCCTGTGCCAGTCCAAATTCGAAAGAAATTCCCCGATACTGTAGTGGTCAGCATTTCAGAAATCGTAGGAGACCTCTAGGGGGAGTTTTCCTAGAAACATTGGAATGACAACCCAACTAAAAAAAGTAGAAGGGTCTGTGCCTAGGGGCACGAAGGAAGCTTGACGTAGGACCGCTAGTGGACGGAATAAATATAAAGAGCATTTAGTTCTTTTATCAATTATCTATTATCTCAACTCTTTCCGTTTTTGAATTGTATGCGTACCAAATTTGTAGTAATCTTTTTCAAAGAGAAAGTTGATTAAGAGAATCAATCAAAATCACTTGCATCCCTGCTTCCAATTTTGGTTACAAGATTACAACTCTGGAGAGCATTTTGTGTGGTCGTTGGGGGCTTGTGGTTCTGAATATGGACAAACAAGCACAGATAAATTCTATTCCAACAAATGATGTAAGCTTGATGGCCCTCATTTTCCAGAAACACCTTCAGCACACCTCGTAGATCAGACCGGAGATACGTTTGACACCACCACGGCGAGCCAGACGACCGATGGCTGTTATCTCGAAGAACTTTGCGAAGACGCTTGGCGCCTCCTTTACCAGACCTTTTCCAACTTTGCCACGACCAGTCAATTGTTGCTTGTTAGGTGTGGAGGAGTGGACTAGCCACCACCTTCCTACTGCTGCTATTGCTGCTCACCACGCCGTGCTAAACGAAAATGAGCAAATGACATACAGCAGTGCTGTTTTATATCTTTTCAGTTTAAAGCAGAATTATGTGCAACCAAGTGGTATAAAAGCTACAAATACTCCTCCCATTATGAGTAGTTTGCTATCAAGTAGCGACACTGGCTCTTTTCCTTTTGCGTACACGGTGAATGAGAACGACCCATATTTGAGTTTAGCGATGAGTAAATTTGTCTCATGGTTTCCTCACAGACAAACAGACGTAACTCTTAAAAAACTTGTTCTTGAAAACATAGTATCTCAAAACATATAACCTCAGTAACGACATCTCTCTGGCTTCTCGCGGAAAACAAGCTTGCTCGCTAACTCGTAAACAATATTGCATAAAAGTTCTATAGAATATATAGAAACGTCAAAGTGATCCGATGCCAACGCTGCGGCGAGTAGTTCGCGGAACTGATAATATTCAAATCAACCGTTAAATGCATGAACGAAGATACACAATGAAGAGTTACGTCTGTTTGTCTGTGGTTTCCTGTAGAAAACCTAAAAAATCTGCCAGATAATTAGCAAATTGACGAAAATTTTATTCAGTCTCGGAGTAGTACTGTTACCGCGAGGCAATTAATTTAAAACCAAAACCACAAGATACACACAGTTGCATCCCGTTTGCATAGCCCTAGCTGACGTTGATACCAAGGCCAAGAATATGAAATGAAAAGTAGGGCAAAAGGAGCGAGAGCTCGTTTTACATAATCTAACTGCAGTATTTACTTAGGAACGTTTCTGCGTTCAAGTAGGATAAACACGCCCACGCATGGCATGCTTGCGCATCTAGGTTACGTTTAGCTTTCCCTCTCTGTTTATCCTTAACGAAGGATATAATTATAATGTTTAAACGTTACAAATGTCTCATTCTTATTTGTAGAGCCATATCAGATCTGAGTTACAAAAAGAAATAAACTTACAAGATAACCCGAGAAATCCCAGATCTGAGAGGGCATAGTATATAAGATCCAAATAACACAAATTTACCCTTTCAAGGGCGATCGAAATCCTAGCTAATAGAATAGGCAAAATTAGGTCAAAAGTCCGGTATTGAAAGGGATATGTAAAACCCTGGACGAACCAAGTAAAAGTTTTACATAATTATAAGTTGCTAATGCAACACGTAGCTGTAAGATCACTTTGTACAATTTTGTTGAATAAAATTAAGTTTCGTAGGTTACTCCAGATTCTTCTCTTTTTTGAATCCGAAAGAACTTTCGGCCTAGAAGTGAAAACTTCTCTCCTTAACCGGGGAAAAAAGTAGCTCCTAGAATCGAGAAACAGTGTCTGACCTGGAAGCGAAAGACTCTCCCTAACCGGAGTAGAAAGTAGCTTTTGGCGGCGACAAGTACCAATAGACTGAGTGAATCCAATCTTTACTTTTTTCAAATTCAGGAATTTTTCCCTGGAAAATCCTAGAAAAACCTGGGAAAACATGAGGCAAATTTATTCATCGCTGAGTTCCTGCACTTTATTTCTTATTTCTGAGATAACTAAACTCAAATTTGGGTCAATCTCATTCGCCGTGATATCACCTTGAAAGATATCGGCACCGGTGGTTAGCGTGATTACCTCTCACCCCAGCAAGCCTGGGTCCAATCCCAGTCGGCGCCACCGGCATGTTCTAAGGCATAACATCTCTGATCACGCATTCCTTCGGGAAGTAAAGCCGTTGGTCCCCGGTTGAGTTGATAGGTCAATTGGTAGGGTCCAGGTGTGGGTGCTGCCCCCTGGCGTCGGTAGCATTGGAGCTCAGTACGGGAAACAAATCTCACGTCACTTTTCAATA